GTTGGTTTCAACTGATTGATTTATCTCCTCATTATGAATCAAAGTCTCCTGCTTTTTTGCATGCCTGATAAATTCTTACTTGATTCAAGGCACTTTGAATTTGGTTTATTGAATGCTGGATATTTTGTATTGCTATAAATATTCTTGAACTCTATCTGGGTTGAAGTTAGGTTACTTAGAAACAGTTTGGTCTCACTTTAAAGATTTGTTGGGTAGAACTGGAACAGTGCTCCATCTAGGGCTATTTATCCCATTCTATTGAGGCAAGATCCTTCTCTATACTTTACCAAACGCCCTGTGAGATTTTCCAGTCTTCTGGACACTATTTTCAGCCCTCCATGGGCATCAGGCTCTATTCCTTCTAATCTTTCCAGTTGTTTTAACAGCTCCCAGTACTTTTCCCACATGCATAGGCTGACCAGAAATCTGCTAAATACACAAGGGAAACCCTCTGCAGATTCAGAGTTCTCTAGCTATGTAACTCTCTCCTTTCAGGTAATCAGCCCTGCATTATCCAGCTACCTTGCTATCCCAGGACTATCATGTCTATCTCCTCAACTCAAGGAGGCTGCCAGATTCTGCATAGGTTCCCCTTTTCTGCACCATGAGTTGGAAACTCTCTCAAAACAGTAATCTTAGGAAATCATAGGACTGACCTTATTTCTTATTTCACAGATATCACTGTCTGTTGATATCTGATATCTAGTATCTTGAAAACCATTGTTTCCTATATTTTGTTCACTTTTTTAGTTGATTTAGATAAGAGGGCAAATATGGTCCCTGTTATTCCACCTGGGCTGAAAGTGAAGTCTAATGTTCTCACTAAGTCTTCAATTTCCATTATAACACTTTTTTTTCTAGATTATCTATTGACTAATTTTTAAATATTCTTGGTTCCTTTTTTTTCTTTACTTTTTCTTACTTCTTGATCAATTATATAATTGCTCCTAAACACTCTAATTTTATATCCAATAAATCAATTATTTGATGTTGCCAAAGTGCTAATTCCCTTTCAGCTGTTCTAATTGATGTTCCTTGATAGGTAGTTTCTTTTGTAATATTTTTTAAGTTAATTGACTTGATTTTTAAAGTTTTAAACTTATAGAAAAAATGAATAGTAAGTACAGAGAATCATACATAACCCCCCCCCAAGAGTTTCCCCTGTTATTAACGTAATACATTAGTGTAGTGCATTTGTTTTAATTGATTAAAAAAAAACGCTGGTACCTTATTATCAACTAAAGTCCATAGTTTACTTTAGGGTTCACTGTTTGTGTTATATAGTTCTATGGGTTTTGATAAATGTATAATTTCATGTATCTGTCATTACAGTATTACACAGAATAGTTTCATTGCCCTGAAAATCTTCTGTGCCTCCACCTATTCATCTCCCTCTTCCTCTCTTCCCCGAATCTCTGACAATGGCTAATCTTTTTATTGTGTCTATACTTTTGTCTTTTCCAGAATGTCATATAGTTGGAATCATACAGTATGCATCCTTTTCAGATTGGCTTCTTTCACTTACAGTGTGCTGTTAAGATTCCTCCATTTGTTTTCACAGCCTGATAACTCATTTCTTTTTATTACTGAATAATACCCCATGTATAAATGTACCACAGTTTATCCATCTTAGTTGCTTCCAAGTTTTGGCAAGTATGAATAAAGCTACTCTAAACATCCACGTGGATGTTTTTGTGTGAGCATGTGAGTTTTCGACTCATTTGGTTAAATACCTAGAATTGCTAAATCACATGCTAAGACTATGTTTAGTTTTGTAAGAAATGGGCAAACTATCTTCCAAAGTGGTGCCAGAAGCTGTACCACTTTTCTTTCCCGTCAACAATGAATGAGAGTCCCTGTTGCTCTACATTCTCATCAGCATTTGGTATTGTTAGTGTTTGGACTTTTGCCAATCTAATAGGGGTGTAGTGGTATCTCATAGTTGCTTTAATTTCGTTGTTTGAATCTTATAATGACCTATGATACTGAGCATTTCTTCATAGCTTATTTGCCATCTGTATATTTGCTTTGGTGAAGTGCCTTTTCAGATCTTTTATCCATTTTCTAATTGCACTGGTTGTATTCTCATTATTGAGTTTTAATTGTTCTTCATATATTTTGGAAACAAATGCTAATTTTTTAGTGTAAGCTGGTGCTTTATCTTTGGGGATGCTATGAGGTTTAGGTTGAACATGCATCACTATTGACTGGAATTGTGTTCACTTCTATTATACTCTACAGGGCACTGTGGATCCCTAATCACTTTAATTTCTTAGCTTGATGTTATCTAGACATCTCTGCTGTAGTAAATTCAATTCTAAGCTCAAATGAGGGCAATCTGTGATTGGGGGTCTTGGGGAAAACCTCTGTCCCCTGTCTTGAGCTGAGGCTGACCCAGGAAAGTATCCCTGCTATTTCCCTATTGCAAGGGAATGAACTTTCTGGGACACCTTTTTCCTAAGGACACAGCTCTTCAAGACCTTCAGCTTTGTGCTGGGTTTTCAGCTCTAGTCTCTCATCTCACTTAGGCTCAAGGCCTTATTTCCTGAGACCACTAAGCTATTAAAACCCAAGCCTCTGGGTGAGATCCAATCAGCAAATTTTACCAGGATAACTACTGCCTCATGTTCCATTTGAGTTACCATTTTTATTTTCAACACCCTCTTAGCTTCTGGTTCCTGAGGATTTCTCTAACTTCATCAGGAGCTCAGTTATGAAATCCAAAGTGTAGGTTTGTTAAGTTTATCTTTCTAGAATTTTTTATTGAGTTTTTTTTTTTACTATGTTTAATCTATATACATTGCCCAAAACAGGTTAAATGGGATTATAACAGCATGCTTTCAACTTATTTTTCACCAAGCAAACAGCCTATCTAAATATCTGCTGGTTGTCTCCCAGAAGGAATTAATTGAGGTCCATTCAAGAAAATAATGCTTTTCTTATTAATCTCTGTTGAGGGTAGGATCTACTTCTGATTTCTTTTTGTATACCTCCACAATCCTTACACAGAGTAGGTATTCAATAAAGTTAGTTGAGTCAAACATTTTTTAAAACTGAATGATGAAATGAATGGATGATGTGGCTGACCATTGATGCGGCTAAGCCTAATAGACCTTTATAACAAGGCCCACTTCTGAGCCAAGAGGTTGGATTTTCACAAGTAATTAAAAATACAGCCCTCAAGTACAGCTGGGCATTTCTATTTGGGGAAGAGTTTGTGAGGCTCAGGAACAATGTTATATATTAATTCCCTGGGAAGGCTTGGTATACAACTACCATACAGGTGTTTCCTGTTGAGACTCCAAGTTCCCATACAAGAACTCAGAGGACAGCTGAGAACAAAACTTAGCCTACTTAATTACATTTGCCCAGTGGTGCTGCATAAAAAGTCACTGACCAAAAATAACATGTTTAAGTAATGTTCAAGTTAAGATACAAACCAGCAGCAGTCAGGAAATTCAAAATTAAATCTGATCTCCACCCTTCACTTGCCTCATTGTGCCCGGGCAGTACCAAGGTCAGAAATTAATTGGAGACACTGCAAAACACACAGCCTGCAATATTTCAGCTCAGTGAGGTCACAAGGAAAACTTAGTTAAAGCCTTATTAGAGCAGTTTACAGGAGCACATTACTGTGAATATGAAATTAGAGTCTTGCCTTGATGGATGTATCACCTACCCAAGGTAATTTGTTGGGAATAATTTGAAAATGTGAGTGAACATAATTAAGCTTCTGTTTTATGGTAGTCTGGTCATTTGTCTCCAGGTGCATGCATCTCTGTAGATTTGACATTGCAGATGCCTAGACTATAATGAGACACATTTCACTCAGTTTTAATATTTGGGCACCTGTGAATTAGAATTGACAATAAAATTGGAATTAGTATTTTTATCCATATTTTTTCTTCTGTAGAACCATATGTATAAGATAAAATCTCAAGGGTTATATCACCATGAAAATCAGTTGCATACTGTAGTACGTACTACAGTGAAGTCCTTGAATAATCCTCCCTAAAATGAAAGAGACCAAACTCAGGTGGGATTATAAATGCCCACCTCATTGTTAAACTAGACTAGATTGCTAGACTGTCCTTTAGGTATATTTATACTTTCTTTTTAGATGTCTCTCTAATTCCAGGCCCAACTCATTAATTTCTTTCAATTTTATTTTGAAATTTGTTGCTTAGTGTTAACTAATTTTCTCTAAATAAAAAAAAATCTATCTCAATTTTATTTTGAAATTTTATTGCTTAGCATTAATTAAATTATTTTCTTTAAATAAAGAAAACTATCTTTGTTCAAGAAAGATGAAGAAAAAGAGTAAAAGGAAAATAGCTGTAGAAAATACCAGACAATACCGGGAATTTAATTTTTTTCATTTAATCCTTAATCATTTACGGTATACCAATTGAAGGATATAATTTAGTTTATACTTAAGATTCTAATCATACTTAACAAGATTGGCCCTGAGGATAACATATCATTAAGTCAGAATAGCTACTATTTTCTGAGTTACTATTTCTCATTTTTCATTTCATTAGAGAATTTAAACTAGAATAAATTACTTTGAATTTAAACTCCATTTATTTATATTAGTTACTATATCCTCATTCATTGTTGCAAAAATAGATTTATGGAACTATAAAAAAACATTAATTGATAGTCATATTTATAACTTTCAAGGTGAGATCGAACATTTCTATCACAGTCATTATACTTCAATTTGCAGCTACTCATGGATGTTGCTACTGCCTACGTTTCTTGGTATGGAAGAGAAAATTAACCAGAAAAAAGTACAATAATAGTAAATATTCCTTTAAAAGTCAGACAGTTACTGAAGAATCTATCACAACCACTAAATGAGGGATGGAACAGTAATCCTTGGTGCTGCCAT